GATAATCAAATACCCCTCTCACCGCTGTTATAATCTCTTCCAACCTCTTCTGTCAGGCAGAAGATACAAAAGCTTAAATACACGTACCCCGCTATTATTAAACTTCTGAATTGAGCTCTCAAGTTTCAAATTTAATGTTGATCTTGCTTTTTGTGCACCTTCTCTGCAGCCGTAACTTTGTATTCCTCACTCTGTTCAATCATCTTTGTAGGGTACGATCTGTCTGTACGGCACATAAAACAAAACTTTTCACCGTACCAAGGTACATGTGACAATAAATCAAACAGGAGAAAACAGAAACCAAGGGTGCTACAGCAAAGGTTGATAAATGGAGAGGGAATGGGTTGCCATTATTTTAACAGCTCCAGATTCTCAAAATGTTTGTGCTGGTTTTTACTGTGCCTAAGGTTCTTGCCACTGCACAAAGCACTGGGTGTGACCCTTTCACAGTGCTATTGGATGAGACAGAGATGGACATTTTATATAGCAACAAAAGAGTTCATATTAGAGCACCACATTGTGGCTAAGGTATGTACTGCAGTGTCTTACAACAACATCAAAAAACCTTGACAAGGTCATTTCTGCTCTGCCAAAGCTGATCTTCACTTGCATCAGATCTCATCAGAGCTGGATTTGTCAAAAAGACCAACCTTCACACAAGTTACAGACAATGTTAGAGGTCACAAAAATATCAATGATTTCAGATAAAGGAATCAAGAGCCACGTATCCAAGTTTACTGGCAACACAAAGGTAGGTGGCACAGGAAGTAGCATAGATGGGTAAAACTGCATGGGGACATTGTATTACCCACTTTGAAATCCATCAATGACAGATAAAACTGTCTGAAAATGTGAGAGATCGTACACTTTGAGTGCAAGATAAATAGGTCAGTGTATTTTTTAAATGGATGAGGAGAGATTTAGGAGCCAATGTACAGAAATCACTGAAAACTATATACTAAAAGTACAAAAAAAATTAATTGGCTAATGGAATATTAGCCCTTATTTGAAGAGGTCTGGAAAACAAAAAGGATGCAGGTTTTTCTGCATTTAGACAAAGTTCTGATTGAACTATAGCTTGGCATACTGTCTTCAGTTCATCATATGAAGGCTTTGTGAAATTTGAAACTCCCTCCTTAAAAGCTGCAGAGTTTGGGTAAGTTGGAAATGCCAACAGTAAAATTAATGGAATTTTGTTAGGCAATGGATATGGAACCAGGGCGGCATGGTGGCTCAGTGGTTAGCACTGCAGCCTCACAGTGCCAGGGACCTGGGTTCAATTCCACCCTCGGGCGACTGTCTGTGTGGAGTTTGCACATTCTCTGCATGCCTGCATGGGTTTCCTCCGGGTGCTCCGGTTCCATCCCACAGTCCAAAGATGAGCTGGTTAGGTGGATTAGCCATGCTAAATTGCCCGCATTGTTCAGGGATGTGTGGATTAGGTGGGTTACAGGGGGATGGGTCTGGGTGGAATGCTTTGAGGGTAGGTGTGGCCTTGTTGGGCCGAAGGGCCCGTTTCCACGCTGTAGGGATTCTATGATGATAAATAGAGTTAAGTGCAGAATGCCACTTTCTCAATGCTTGAAAGTTAGAAGCAGTGGCATTTGGAAAAGACTTTGGAGACCAGGTATAGAGATCATTAAAATCTCAAGAATAGGTACAGAAAATAACCAAAAGGCTAGTAAGGTTGGTGGCCTTAAACACTTAGAGGACTCAAATACAAGGAGGTCATGGTTTAGCTATACAAAGCATAAACCACACATCAGGTACTACAAGATGTTCTGAGCACCACACCTTTAGGAAGGTTATACTGCCCTCAAAGCAAGCAGATTGTGTGTAGATTTACAGGGACACTTCAACTCTACAGTTTGAATTATGGGGCAAAATTTCACAAACCAAGCTTGTGTCCCCTGGGCTTTAGAAAAATAAGTGGAACTTGATCAAAATTTTCAAGCTATTAAGGAAACAGAAACATAGGAAAATAAGAGCAGTAAGCCATTCAGCCCTTTGAACATGCTCCACCATTCAATACGATCATGGCTGGTATTTTACCTCAGTGCATACTCCCGCTCTGCCCCCATATCATTGATATCTTTAGCCTCTAGAAAACTATGCATTTATTTCTTAAATATATTCAGTGACTTGTCCTCCACACCTTGTAGGAAAGAGAATTCCACAGATTCAGCATCGAATAAAGACATTTCTCCTCATCTCAGTCCGAAATGGTGTATCTTGTATCTGTGATAGGAGATCATTTGTTCCAGAACCATCGAGTCCAGACAGACAGATGCATCTTCCCTGCAGCCAATCTGCTCAGCACTGTCATAGTTTTAGGTTTCAATCCCCAAGATCCCCTATCATTCTTCTACACTCCAGTGGACACAAGCTCAGTTGACCCAATTTCCCGTCAATCCTGCCATCCCAGGAATCAGACTGGTGAATCTTTCTGCAGTCCCCCCCTGGCAAGTATAATCTTGCTGAGGTAAGGGGACCAAAGCTACACATAATACTCCAGGCTCTGTCTCACCAAAGCCCTGTACAACTGAAGCAAGTCTTCCTTGCTGCTATACTCAAACTCTCTTGCACTGAAGGCCAACATATCACTTGCCTTCCTGACTGCTTGCTGCATCTATACGTCTGCTTTACCAGTGTACAAGAACGCCCAGGTCTCTTCATGCATCAACATTTTGTACATCACTGGTACACTGTTTCTGCCATGTATTTGCCTACTGACTCAACTTGACTAACTCAACCTTAGTATCTCTTTACATCCTTCCCACCACTGTCAATCCCACATAAAGAGAAACTGTTTCCTGACTGAGAATCAAGGACAAGGAGGCAATCTAAAAATTACAACAAGGCTTCTCAGGAGTGAAATTAGGAAACTGTTTTTGCGTGGAGGAAGTCTGGAACTTTGTTCCTCGAATAATAAATTGTCCATTGCAAATTCAATGTTGATCAATTTTTATTGACCAAAAGTACTAATGAATACAAGACTATGTGGAGTTAATTAAAGATTAGGCATGATCTAACTGAATGATTAACCAGCTTGAGAGATTAGATGTTCCTACATCAAGTGAGTACTTTCACACATTAAATATGATGTTAAGCATAAGATTTTTGGAAATCACATTCAGCATTTTTGGTCAGAATTTCCCCCAACCAGACCTGTTTGAAGGGGGAACATAAGTGGGTGGGAGAGAAGAATATAGTTTCCAAATGGTGGGTTAAAGTTTTACATTCTCAGAATCTTTCAGACAGGTCGGCTTTCCTGAACATTCATGGCACATTGGAATTACGCTCATGACTGCAGATCGGTGTTCACAAAATTGAGTATCTATAAGTCTTCTTTCAAGCTCAGGTGACTATAAATGTCTTCAGTTGCTTGGCTTCTTCATAATCAAAGGCATTTCTTTACACAAACGTTGACAGTGTGTGAGCTGAAACCTCACCATGTTGATCAGCGAGTGTGAAGTCCTAATCACATGTAGTCCAGCTCAATGGTTTCAATACAGAAGTGAGAGACCAGGTCAGAAAGACTGCCCAAGTGAAGATGCCACACTGGCTGCTAACAGCAAACCTGAACATAAAACATAGAAAAGGCCAAACACCAAAGGGGTCTTAATTATAAAGGCCAGCTTTTGTGTTTGTGTCCTTGTTACACGCAAGCCTTTGGTGTGAAGCAGTCAGATGTCCACATTCTCCTGTTGTAATGAAAGATCAGTGACCTGAGGGCACACAAGCTGCTGGAAGTTGCAGATCCTTTCAAGTGTCAACTTTGTAATTGTGCGAGAGGCAGTGCCACGGTGTTGCCAGTAGTGCCACACTAGTAGCTGCCATGAAGTGACAGACACTTGGCCTTTTGTGTGGCAGTCCTCTGCAGTGACAAGCTTATAAAGCTAACTCAGATTCACAAGAGGATGAAACGTTGAGCAGACAGTGGTATATACCCTGGCAGAGCGCAGCAGATCATTCACCCTCTTGCAGCACCAGAGCCAGGTTCTCATGAACTGCTCTGAGCCACAGCCCTCAGCAGACACCTCTACCCAGGCTGCCGTCATCAGCCAGGAGAGCCTCTGGTTGTCATCTCTAGGGAAAAGAATTTCCCTTCTTCCTACGACAACCTCCAGGAACACCTCGAAGGCTGTGGTTTTCAACTGCTGTGCCACAGCATACAAGGTATAAAGTGTGTTATTCTGTACTGGGCAGTTACCAGGCTCCAGTCAGGAATAAGGAGCACAGAAACTCGTTGCTTACTGCAACCCAGCAGGTAGGTTTTTATTCTGTATTTGCGTAGTTGGTAAAAGGACAAATCAGTTCTGAACAAGCCTGCAACTGGCTAATGACTCACCAGTGCTCATGTGACTCACCTCTTAAAAGGACACTGTCCAAAATTAACATACACCAAGATAATACATAATATCGGCTGTGAAACTTTCAGGAAGCAGCAGCACTTTCCCTGAGCACCAAGGCTGCGTCTGCGCTTCCAATCTCCTGTGGAACCTCCGTGTCTCTCACTAAAGGCTATATCTGCTGATACCAGGCACCCTTACTGACTGCGCATGCACGTATCTGCAGAGCCGTACGTGTGTAGACTTCAGATACCGCACATGTGCAGAGACTCAGCACTGAGCATGCGTGGACATTCACATCGAGTCAACTGGAAAAAAAAGTGGGTGTGCCATGGAATTGTTTGCCTCATTGAAGTGTGGCTTGATACTGGGAAGATTGGGAACCATTGCTGTCAGGAGGCTTTGCTTAAGTGCAGTGTGCTTTTCTACCTGGTTCCTGACATCTCCATGGCTGGGCTGGGGAGATGAGAAGAGATTGAATTACCAGCAACATTTATAAAAAGGTTTTAGGCATTTTTAAACATTTTGTCTTGGATGCCATCTAGACAACACAAAAATACAAAATGGAAAGACTTGTAAGGGCAAATGAAAAAGAATGAGTTAGAGTTTGTCATTTATGTATTTTTTAAGTAAAATTATAATCTGTACCTGTACAAACCAGAAGCATTTGTGATTACCAGTTCATATAACTCGTTTTCCTTCACTTCATCCAGAAACAGAGTTTGTGGCTGTTCTTCACTGCAGAGATCAACAGGAATAAATTCAAAAAACATCGAGTGTGGACATAAGAGGTAATGCCGTTTTTCCTTCTCTGGCCATAGGTTCACACCAATGAGTCCTAAGAAAACAGACAGAAACAATAAATCACAAACACTGAAGGTGGCTATTCGGTCCATCATGACCATCTGCTATCAGCAACTAAGCCAGAACCACGCCCCTACCTTTCCTCTGTAGTCCTCAAAATATTTTCTTTGTTTCTAACTGGCCAATCCCCTTTAGGAAAAGGGTGAATCTGCTCTCAGGCTGTCAGGCAGTGCACTCTAGATTTAAGCTGTTACAGACAAAATAAACTGGAGTCTGATTTTTTTTTTGAAAATGGTGCTACTTGCACCCTTGAGCTAGGTCAATGAAACTCCAAAAAACCTATTCAATGATTCCAGTTAGAAAATGTTTGAGAGAACATCATGAGAATCAGAGAATTGGGCTCTAGTCCTGTAGCCTGTTGACACTTACGCGGAGAAGGGTGAAGGCTTGGAGAGGCTGTAGATGGCTCCCTGCAAACTTTAGCTCAGCATGAATCAACATTTGACAGAAAAATATCGAAAATGGCTTAGTCCACATCGGTTTCTTTATGATTGAAGATGTGCCTTTGGGTCATCAACAATTGTGCACAACGATTTACATGGGAACACTACTACCCACAGGCTCCCCACCAAATCACGCACCTTCCTGTCTCAGAAATATATCAGCATTCCTTGGTCAAAATCCTGGAACGCCCTCCCTAACAGACAGCACCCCCAAGGTTGTTCACCAAAGTAGCTCACCACCACTTTCTTCATGGCTGTCGGGGAGATACAATTAATTAATGCTGGCCAAGCCAACACTACCCAAATTCCATGAACAAATTTTAAATAAAAAAAAACGACCTGACCAACACCCTAAGTCAAACATTCCAGGTCAATGGCAGGAATACAGGCACACCTGAGGCTGATGTCGAGATTTTCAACTAATACAAAAAATAACTGTATTGCTGAAAAGAAAGGGCATGCTGTTGAAGCTTTTCCTCCTGCCCTCATCAGGACAGATGCAAGAATGCCAAATTTCAAAGGGAACAACTATCTTTATTGCAAGCAAAAAGGATGCTGATTGGCAAATGACTAACAGCTCATAGACAGAACTACAGTGGAAGTCCTATGTAATTTGGATCAACACATTGCAAATTTGCTTATTGCACAGGGTCTCCTGATCCCGAATGAGGCCAATCTTACAACCCCAACCCAATTAACCTTTTGGACCTAATTCAATCCCTATCTCAACTCAGATTTACCTGCTGGCTCCGAGTCCCACTATGTATTTTTGTTCTTGCACGGGACCATCAGTCTGTAGTTGAGCTATACAGCAGTCTCAATTTCATGGACAACAATATCTGTGTTATATCAGGTTTCCACTGCATATGAACAATACAGCATGGAAACTAGTTACCGGGACTAATCAAGCCTTTTGGTGTTTACCTGCCACAGAAACAAGGCAGAATGCTAGTGGTGAGGATTCAGTCTTCACTTCCCTGCCCCCACAATGTTATCTTTTATTACAGAATTTCATCTGCCTGAAACAATTCCAGAATCTGTCATGCTCACACTGCAGGGTGGAAATCACAGCATCAGCGACCCTGGGGGAAAAATGTGCGCAATGTAGTTTGTGCACTGCTGATAAGTTGCTTGGCTTATTTAACTCTTTCAGGCAGATTCTTCATGATGTGGGAAATAGGACTGAGCGCGTATGAAAGGGAAAAAAAAACAGCTGTTACCATGAAAAGACACTAGGAAATAACAAGGATCAGTCACCAGAACCTGGCATAAAAGGAACCTAACATGTAACATTGCTTTAACTGTAAGAATATGAAGCTTATTTATTACCAGCTAGTTTTCTTTGATGGGATAATTACCAAAATGACAAAATAAAGGTGTCCAAACAAAATTACAATTTCCAGATCTCTCAGCGCAACAAGAGTCACGTCACTCTACTGAGTTATGAAAATTCAAATATGTTTGGTTTTAAAATTTAAAACAATGAATGTTACAACAAGGTTACACTTTTGATGTTGTGTCACAATCCAAACAATTATTCTTGGAAATATGATTACTTGCACCGGAGTTTCCCAAAACTTTGAGAGTCAGACATGAGGCGAAATAAAAGTGAGCTCATCGACAGTGCTCGGTACTTTCATAAAGTCTTGGAGATCGACAGCACAGAAAAAAGGCCCTTCAACCCATCGCACCCATGCTGGTCAACAACTACCACCTAATTATTCTAATTCCATTTCCTAGCACTTAACCCATAGCCTTGTATGTCTTGGCATTGCAAGTGTGCCTAAGTATTATGAGAGTTTCTGCCTCTACCACCCTTGCCAGTAGAGAGTTCCAGATTCTCACCACCCTCTGTGTGAAAATGTTTTCCCTCTCATCTCCTCTAAACCTTCAGGCCCTTACCTTAAATCTATGCTCCCTGGTCATTGATCTCTCCAGCAAGGGAAAAGTTCCTTCTTGCCTACTATATCAATGCCCCACATAATTTTATACATCTCAATCTCCTCGGATCCAAGGAAAACAAGCCCAGTCTCTCCAATCTCACTTCATGACTGAAACCCTCCTGCCCAGGCAACATCTTTATAAGTCTCAGAGATAGTAAGAACCGCAGATGCTGGAGTCTGAGATAACACAGTGTGGAGCTGGAGGAACACAGCAGGCCAAGCAGCATCAGAGGAGCAGGAAAGTTGACGTTTTGGGACGGGACCCTTCAGCAGGAAAGTTGATGTCCCTTTGGCAGGGTCCCGACCTGAAACGCAAACTTTCCTGCTCCTCTGATGCTGCCTGACCTGCTGTGTTCCTTCAACTCCACAATGTGTTACCTTCGTAAATCTTCTCTGCACTCTCTCTAGTGCTATCACTTCCTTCCTATAATGTGGATTATATGTCAATTATCCAGAACAGCACACAATACTCGGGCTGTGACCTAACTTTATACTGATCCAGCATAACCTCCCTGCTCTTAAACTCTATGCATCACCTTCATGTTAGACTCTCCTTCAAATCCACCTCCAACTGGGCTTTCGGTGACCAATTATAATGTTTCCATCCTAGATTTGGCATTCATTTCTCCTGGTGCGTTTTAAAATGACTTGGGATGTTTTTTCTACAAAAAGCACTACTTTGTAAAATGGGAATTGGGTTTAACCAATTTATTGGAATTCTTCAAAGGAGCAACATGCACCGCAGATAAATTGGAGCCCACTGACCTAGTGTACTTGGATTTCTAGAAGGCATTTAACAAGTATCCACGCAAAAGGTTTATGCTCAAAGTAGGAGCTCATGGTGTAGTGGGTGACATACTTGCACAGATACAAGACTGGCTTGTAGAGAACAAGGGTGTGTGCAGAAATGTTCTTTGTCCAGCTGGCTAGGATGTAACAAGCGTGATCCTGCAAGAGTCTGTGGCGGGCTCTCAACCTGTTACAATTCATATCAATGACTTAGACGACGGGACTGAAGGTATGGTGGCTAAATTTGCAGATGATACAAAGATAGGTAGGAAACGATTGTGAGGATCACGTAGTAAGGATACAATATAGATAGGTAAGTGAGTGGGCGAAAATCTGGCAGATGGCGTATAACATGGGAAACTGTAAAGTATTCAGAGATAGTAGGGACTGCAGATGCTGGAGAATCGGAGATAACAAGGTGTAGAGCTGGATGAACACACATTTTCTGAAGAAGGGTCTAGGCCCGAAACGTCAGCCTTCCTGCTCCTCTGATGCTGCTTGGCCTGCTGTGTTCATCCAGCTCTACACCTTGTTATCTCTGTAAAAGTATTCACTTTGGCAGGAAGGATAAAAAATACTGTGCTTTAGTATTCCAAAGACGCAAAGGAATCCGGATGTTCTCAGCCTTGAGTCACAAATGTTAGTGTGCAGTTACAGCATATAACCAGGAAGACCAATGGATTGCTGCTTTTATTATGAGAGGAATTGAACATAAAAGCAAGGATACTTTGCTTCAGTTATACAGGCCATTGGTGAAATCACATCTCAAAGGCAGGTGTGCGTGCACAGTTTTGGTCATCTTGGATAGAAATGCACTGCAAGTAGTTCAGAGCAGGTTGTCTCATGAGGTAAAATCGGACAGGCTGGATTTGTTCTCACTGGAATTCAGAAGAGCGAGGGGTGATGAGATTGAAGTTTATAAGATTCTGAGTGGTCTTGACAAGGTGAAGGTGGAAAAGGATGTTTCCTCTTGTGGGAGAGTCCAGAATCAGGGGAAATTGTTTTAAAATTAGGAGTCACTCTTTTAGGACAGAAATGAGGAAAACTGTTTTTCTCTCGAGGGTGATGCGACTTTAGAACTGTCTGCCTTAGGAGGTGGAGGAGATGGGGGCCAATGAATATTTTTAAGGACAAGGTGAGTAGTTTTTTGTTAGGCAAGGGAATTGAAGATTATCAGGAATAGATGGGAAGGTCGAATTATTAATGCAAACACTTCAGCCAGGATCTTAATGAATGGTGTAACAGGACTGAAGGCCTATGTGGTCTATTTCTCTTCCTAATTCTTAGGTTTGTAAGTTTGTAACAGCTAAATAGATGAATAACAGCAAACTGCAGCAGATGCTGGAGACCTGAAATAAAAACAGGAAGTGCTGGAGAAGCTCAGTAGGTCTGGCAACATCCATGGACAGAGAACAGAGTTAACAGTTTCAGTTCAATATGACTCTTTGTTGGAAACATGCATACAAGGTTCAAAAGACATACCAGGCTTCAAGCGTTAACTCTGTTTCTTTCTCCACAGAGACTGGAAGACTTGCTGAGTTTCTCCCAGCACTTTCTGCTTTCATACCTGAGAGTGCTGGAGTTGGGAAGGAGGGTGTTGCACTTGCTTGACCCTGACAATGTAGTAATGAAAATAAATGCAGAGAAGCAGGTGAACTAACATCGTGAGAGGCTGAGCCATCATTACCTTCAGTGGCTGCATAAACTGGAGAGTAAATAGGGACCCCTTGACAGTAGAAGCATTTCAGGCGACTTCCATACAATTCATGTGAGCCAGAATCCACAGAAAGCACCAAGTTAAGGTGGGGCCACACTCGACGGGCAATCCCACGAAATCCAATCTCAAACTCTGCAGCCAACTCGGAGGCCCTTTGAGGATCAGGCTTTAACTGAGCCTCAAGCTTCAGGCGAACATCACTAGTAATCTTCAGCTTGGGATTGACGCGACCCAGCCTAATGTCCTCAATCAGTTGCTCCCACTTGTTCTGTAATAAAGTAAAACTGTGATAAACTGTGGAAGCAAAGTTCGCCTCCAGCATTCCCAAGGTTCTATGTTTCAGGGCAAAAAGTAGGTGAACATACAATGCCTCAGGTTCAGTCGCAATTTCAAATCCAGCCGCTGGTGTTGAATACATTGTCAAACTGAGCATGGAAGTCATGAGAGAGGGGAAATTGGAGCCAATTGGAATTCCTGATTCCGATTTCATCCAGTTAGGGGAATAATAAAAAGCTGCAGTCCACTGTAAATTTCTAGTCCGTGGGTAGACATCAAGTATTGAGTGAAAGACTACTCCAAAGGCCTATAATGAAAGGGGAAGAAAAGGCAGTTTCAGTTGGTATTCAAACAAATCAGTGGCAACAAACTGGTTTAAAATACTGGAGTAACTGCAGCAAATGCAGGCATTCTGGTAAGTTCTGAGTCTTGTTTTTATTCATTCACGGGATGAGGGTGTCGCTGCCCCAGCGGGCAATTAAGAGGCAATCGTATTGCTGTGGGTCTGGAGTCACATGTAGGCCAAATTGGGTAAGCCCTTCCCTAAAGGACACGAGTGAACCAAATGGGTTTTTACTGATAATCGACAATAGTTTCATGGTCATCATTAGACTCCTAATTCTAGATATTTATTGAATTCAAATTCCATCATCTGCTGGGTGTGATCAAACCTGGGTCCCTAGAACATGATCGGAGTCTGTGGATTAACAATCCAGTGATAATGCTACTAGGGTCATTGCTTCTGTCCATCCCAACCGTAATTACTGAGTGGATCACTCAGCCTTTTTGCTCTGTTCACATATGTAACGTGGGCGTCACTGGCAAGGCTGGCATTTGTCACCCATCCCTAGTTGCCCTTTAACTGATTGCATCTGATATGGCCTAGACAACCAATGAAGGTTTATTGCTATGGGTCAGGAGCCATATTCCCTGGAATTTTTTTTCTTTTTCTGCTGCAAGGATCTCCGAGGTCTGAGGGCAGCAGGGGCTTCTGAAAGTGGAAGTCAACGTGCAGCCGACAATCAGTGTGTATGAAACCTCTGAGCAGCCACATAACTTAGAGGGAATGTTGGTCTTGCAACACATGTATGTCAGATCAGGTAAGAACAGCAGATTTCCTTTCCCAAGGGATATTAGTGAACCAGATTTTGGTTTTTTGCTAATGGCAATCAGGAATGGTTACGTGGCCACCATATTTTAAAACTCCAAATGTTTCAATTCAAATTTCACCATCTGCCATGCTGGGATTCAAAGCAATGTCCCCAGAACATTAGCCTGGGTCTCTGGATTACTAAGACCAGCAATGATATCACAACTACCTCCCCAGAGGTCACTTTGTGGTCACAGCCAATCACACTCCTGAGGGTCTGGAGTTACATGCAAGTCAGATCAGGAGGATGACAGATTTCTTTCCCTCAAGGGCATTAATGAACCAGTTCTGGTCGTCCTGCTCAATGAAGGATATGATTGAACTGGACAGTGTTCAGAAAAGATTTACCAGGATGTTGCCGGGTATGGAAAGTTTGGGTTATAAAGAAAGGCTGGATAGCCTAGGATATTTTCACTGAAGTGTAGGAGGTTGAGATGTGACCTCTAGGATGGGGGATTTCAAGACAAGGGGGCATATTTTTAAGGTGATAGGAGAGAGATTTAAAAAAGACATGGAGGCAAATTTTTACACAGAGGGTGGTTTGCATGTGGAATGAACTTCCTGACGAAGTGGTGGATGTGGGCACACAATTACAACATTTCAAAGACGCTTGGATAAGTACATGAATAGGAAAGGTTTGGAGGGATATGGGCCAGGAGCAGGCAGGTGGGATAGTTTAGTTTGGAATTATGTTCAGCATGGACTGGTTGGGCTGAAGGGTCTGTTTCCGTGCTGTTATGACTCTATGACTACATTGGCTTTTCCGACAATTGATGACAGCTGTTAAAGTCTCTATCACTGGGACTAGCTCAGTGGATCCATTGGCAGTCCCTCCTAGACAAGGATGAGTCTCTTCCACTTTGAGGGTGAGTCCATTGGTGGCCGTACAGACCAACACAACTTCATACGCTCTGCTTCAATAGATTATTAGTCCAATAACATTACCACTACACAAACATTAACCCCTCATATATCGTTAATTTCCATAGAACATATATTAGCATTTTAATGATTGGAACTAGTTTGTCTTTGAAAACATATTCAAAGTGGACATTCAAGTTGTATAAGTCACATACAAATGGTCTACTAAGCATCATCGCTGTTCTAGCTGACCAGTAAGAATTGAATCATTATGAAATCTTTTTCAACATTTCTACCAGTTAAAAATGACTTACAAACTGAATGCAATGAAGGCCTACTGACATGATTGATACCAGAGCTGTACTGCTAACTTGGAACTACTCTCGTCAGATCAGCTCATGAACAGGATAATAAATCATATCCGACTGCTCTTAATGTATTATTAATTTCTCCAGTGAGATTTTATATTATTAATATAAAATATAATCAATAATACCCTCATATGTAACAGTCTTTCATAACTTTTCCAATATTCTGTGGCTACGCTTTGTTGAATCCATCACTTATTAAACAGCCCATAGGTTAACTGCAGTTATTGCAAGAGTCTGCTATTGTGCTTTGCTCCAAGCACACACATTTCATTCCCATCAACGAGTGTGTGGTTCACTGTCAAAATGTCAGCATTAACTGCATTAAAATGCATTCTGTGTCAGCAAACTCCATGATGGTTCGCATTGTGCTTACAACTACTGCCTGATCTCCACCCTTCCTTTCCTCTTCATAATCCTTCAATGCGCTACTGTCTCCCAAATCCATGCCCATCTCTCCCAGAACTCCAGTGTGGATTTCTCCAATTAAGTTTCCATCCCTGCCCTAGTAAGCTACTGAGACAGTTGTTAGCAAGGTTACAATTGATATGCAATGTGAAGTTGAATAATGTACACTGTTATTCATTGTCATGTCTGCTAGCCATTCGCACACTTGACCACAGAATCCCTCATTAACATCTGTCCACCATCATCCATTTGGTTGGTATTGCACATGCCTGCTTCCATTCTTAATTGTTGAATGGTCAATAAAGAATCATGAGCCATGGCTTTACCGTCCACCCTCTCACACTTACGCATTCGGTACCAAACAGATATCCACATCATCACTCAGTATTTCCCACAGTAACATCACATGACTGCAACTCAGTTGCTGCTGAAACCCTCATCTATTCTCTCTGTTCCCTCTATACCTTACTATTCCAACTTACTTCTTGCTGACCTCCGATCTTTCACCGTACTTGAGTTCATCGAAAATTCCGAGACTTAAGCTGATTCCTGTGCCTACTGACCTACAGTAGCTCCCAGTTAAGCAACAGATCAGTTTTAAGATGCTTCATCCGTGTTTTCAAACTCCTCTATGGGCTTGCCCCTCACCCCTTCTCCTCTTTCATCTGTGCCAACCCAATCTCCTTTGAGATACCTGCACTCCCTTCATTCTGGTCTCTTGAGCATCCCCAATTTTAATCGCTCCAAGTTTAACAACTGAGCCTTCATCGACCAAAGCCTTAAGCTCTGAGATTCCTTCCTGGAATCCCAACCATTCTCTACCTCAGTTCTTTCTTTACAATACTCCATGAAACCTAGCTTTTTGACCAAGTTTTTAGCAGTCTGTCCCAATGTCAATTTTTGCATTATAAAGCTCCTCAAGATGCTTTATGCGAAAGAGACCGTACAAGTACCAGTCTGCTGATTCCAAAATGGTCTCGTCAGCCACTTCCAGGCTTACTGAAGAGAATCATCGTTGTCTGTAAGGGATAGTAAAGAGTAATCATAACAATAAATAAGAGTTGTTGTTGCATTAATATTTCAAGCAACATGCCCAGAAGATAGTGGGCTTTCTGCAGCATACAGTTCCGTGCAAGTACACGACATCACAGATTCTAATCTCCCATGCTACCTACATCGGCAGTTTAAGTTATAATAGAAGCATTCATGAAAAGTCTGTGTGTTAAAATCACCAAGGCACTACAACCACTGTATTGCCATGAAATTAAAAGGTGATCTACTCAGTCACCAGCAAAAGATTTAACTATAAAAAAGGAAACCCGATCTCTAAAATTCTGGTAAACCTCTGGGAGTCCCTTGTAATCGAGATAAAATGTGAGTTACTGAGTTAGTTTCAATAAATGGCCATCATAGTGGTATTTGAATTTCAATATTTCTTGAAATTTTAGCACTAAATTCACAATAAGCCTTCAAAAACAATAAAAGGAAGTCGAGAGCGCAGGAAGGATCCAGTCTTCACAGCAACAAGATGCACTAGGTCGCTGACAGGTCACTGGGTCACACACTGGACACTGGATGCATTGATGTGTTGCACATCTCAACACACACACAAAGAGATGAACCACTTCCTCAGGTCACGAATAAGGTTTCAAGGTCGCAGGAGTGTACTGGCAGGCGGGAAGGTGGTTTGAAGTGTGTCTACTTCAACGCCAGGAGCATCCGGAATAAGGTGGGTGAACTTGCAGCATGCGTTGGTACCTGGGACTTCGATGTTGTCGCCATTTCGGAGACATGGATAGAGCAGGGACAGGAATGGTTGTTGCAGGTTCCGGGGTTTAGATGTTTCAGTAAGATCAGGGAAGGTGGTAAAAGAGGGGGAGGTGTGGCATTGTTAGTCAAGGACAGTATTACAGTGGCAGAAAGGACATTTGATGAGGACTCGTCTACTGAGGTAGTATGGGCTGAAGTTAGAAACAGGAAAGGAGAGGTCACCCTGTTGGGAGTTTTCTATAGGCCTCCGAAAAGTTCCAGAGATGTAGAGGAAAGGATTGCAAAGATGATTCTGGATAGGAGCAAAAGTAACAGGGTAGTTGTTATGGGGGACTTTAACTTTCCAAATATTGACTGGAAACGCTATAGTTCGAGTACTTTAGATGGGTCAGTTTTAGTCCAATGTGTGCAGGAGGGTTTCCTGACACAGTATGTAGATAGGCCAACAAGAGGTGAGGCCACATTGGATTTGGTACTGGGTAATGAACCAGGCCAGGTGAGCACTTTGGTGATAGTGACCACAATTCGGTTACGTTTACTTTAGCGATGGAAAGGGACAGGTATATACCGCAGGGCAAGAGTTATAGCTAGGGGAAAGGCAATTATGAGGCGATTAGGCAAGATTTAGGATGCATAAGATGGAAAAGGAAACTGCAGGGGCTGGGCACAATTGAAATGTGGAGCTTGTTCAAGGAACAGCTACTGCGTGTCCTTGGTAAGTATGTACCTGTCAGGCAGGGAGGAAGTGGTCGAGCGAGGGAACCGTGGTTTACTAAAGAAGTTGAATCTCTTGTCAAGAGGAAGAAGGAGGCTTATGTAGAGATGAGGTGTGAAGGCTCAGTTAGGGCGCTTGAGAGTTACAAGTTAACCAGGAAGGACCTAAAGAGAGAGCTAAGAAGAGCCAGGAGGGGACATGAGAAGTCTTTAGCAGGTAGGATCAAGGAAAACCCTAAAGCTTTCTATAGGTATGTCAGGAATAAAAGAAGGACTAGAGCAAGATTAGGGCCAGTCAAGGACAGTAGTGGGAAGTTGTGCGTGGAGTCCGAAGAGATAGGAGAGGCACTAAATGAATATTTTTCATCAGTATTCACACAGGAAAAAGACAATGTTGTCGAGGAGAATACTGAGATACAGGCTATTAGACTAGACGGGATTGAGGTTCATAAGGAGGAGGTGTTAGCAATTCTGGAAAGTGTGAAAATAGATAAGTCCCCTGGGCTGGATGGGATTTATCCTAGGATTCTCTGGGAAGCTAGAGAGGAGATTGTAGAGCCTTTGGCTTTGATCTTTATGTCGTCATTGTCTACAGGAATACTGCCAGAAGACTGGAGACTAGCAAATGTTGTCCCCTTGTTCAAGAAGGGGAGTAGAGACAACCCTGGTAATTATAGACCAGTGAGCCTTACTTCGGTTGTGGGTAAAGTGTTGGAAAGGATTATAAGAGATAGGATTTATAATCATCTAGAAAGGAATAATTTGATTAGGGATAGTCAACACGGTTTTGTGAAGGGTAGGTCATGCCTCACAAACCTTATTGAGTTCTTTGAGAAGGTGACCAAACAGGTGGATGAGGATAAAGCGGTTGATGTGGTGTATATGGATTTCAGTAAAGCGTTTGATAAGGTTCCCCACGGTAGGCCATTGCAGAAAATACAGAGGCGTGGGATTGAGGGTGATTTAGCAGTTTGGATCAGAAATTGGCTAACTGTAAGAAGACAGAGGGTGGTGGTTGATGGGAAATGTTCATCCTGGAGTTCAGTTACTAGTGGTGTACCTCAAGGATCTGTTTTGGGGCCACTGCTGTTTGTGATTTTTATAAATGACCTGGATGAGGGCGTAGAAGGATGGGTTAGTAAATTTGCGGATGACACCAAAGTCGGTGGAGTTGTGGATAGTGCGGAAGGATGTTGCAGGTTACAGAGGGACATAGATAAGCTGCAGAGCTGGGCTGAGAGGTGGCAAATGGAGTTTAATGAGGAAAAGTATGAGGTGATTCACTTTGGAAGGAGTAACAGGAATACAGAATACGGGGGCTAATGGTAAGATTCTTGGTAGTGTGGATGAGCAGAGAGATCTCGGTGTCCATGTGCATAGATCACTGAAAGTTGCCACCCAGGTTGATAGGGTTGTTAAGAAGGCGTACTGTGTGTTAGGTTTTATTGGTAGAGGGATTGAGTTTCGAAGTCATGAGGTCATGTTGCAGCTGTACAAAACTCTGGTGCGGCCGCACTTGGAGTATTGCGTACAGTTCTGGTCGCCGCATTATAGGAAGGATGTGGAAGCATTGGAAAGGGTGCAGAGGAGATTTACCAGGATGTTGCCTGGTATGGAGGGAAGATCTTATGAGGAAAGGCTGAGGGACTTGAGGCTGTTTTTGTTAGAGAGAAGAAGGTTAAGAGGTGACTTAATAGAGACATACAAGATGATCAGAGGATTAGATAGGGTGGACAGTGGGAGCCTTTTTCCTCGGATGGTGATGGCTAGCACGAGGGGACATAGCTTTAAATTGAGGGGGGATAGATATAGGACAGATGTCAGAGGTAGGTTCTTTACTCAGAGTAGTAAGGGCGTGGAATGCCCTGCCTGCAACAGTAGTAGACGCGCCAACTTTAAGGGCATTTAAATGGTCATTGGATAAACATATGGATGATAATGGAATAGTTTAGGTTAGATGGGCTTCAGATTGGTTTCACAGGTCAGCGCAACATTGAGGGCCGAAGGGCCTGTACTGCGCTGTAATGTTCTATGTTCTATCTAAGTTCTAGATGTACTGAAGCCACACAAACACATACTTATAGGCATACAGAGTCCTTGCTATGCTGAAGAAAGAGGAAAGACAATGAATTTGACACACTGATACACTGCTGTGCCCAGTATGCAGAGTTAGGAGGCATGCTCAGAATGGGTTTCTTTTTTCCCTCATGGATTAATTCATTTCATGTACTATAACCCAAATGTCATGTGGATGTCCAACCTGTGAAACAAGTCAAATATTCCTTCTAGTACAATGGGACCTATATCGGATGGGCCGGTGGACCGAGGAGTGGCAGGTGAAGTTTAATTTAGATAAATGTGAGGTGCTGCACTTTGGAAAGGCACATGAGAGCATGACTCGTACACTTAATGGTAAGATCCTGGGGAGTGTTGCTAAGCAAAGGGACTTTGGAGTGCAGGTTCATTGCTCCTTTAAGGTGGAGTTGCAGCTAGATAGGATAGTGAAGGAGGCGTTTGGTACGCTTACCTTTATTGGACAGTGCATCGAGTATAGGTGTTGGGAGGTCATACTGTGGCTGGACAAGGCATTGGTTCGGCCACTTTCAGAATACTGCATTCAATTCTGGCCTCCCTGCTATAGGAAGGACGTCGTGAAATTTGAAAGGGTTCGGAAAAGATTTACAAGGATGTTGGAGGGTTTGAGCTACAGGGAGAGGCTGAATAGGCTGGGGCTATTTTCCCTGGAGTATTGGACACTGAGGGGTGACCTTGTAGAGGTTTATAAAATCATGAGGGGCATAAATAGGGTGAATAGTCAAGGTCCTTTCTCCAGGGTAGCAGAGTCCACAACCAGAGTGCACAGGTTTAAGGTGAGAGGGGAAAGATTTTAAAAAGTGGCCTAAGGGACAACTTTTTCACACAGAGGGTGGTGCATGTATGGAATGAGCTGCCAGAGGAAGTGGTGGAGGCTGGTACAATTGCAACATTTAAAAGGTATCTGAATGGGTATATGAATAGGAAGGGTTTAGAGGGATATGGGCCAAATGCTGGCAAATGAGACTAGATTTATTTAGGATATCTAGTCGGCATGGATGAGTTGGACCAAAAGGTCTGTTTCCATGCTGTATGACCACATCAATCTAGTTTGAACCAGATTTACTCAAGAATAACAGTGAGTGCTGTTAAGTGAGTGCTGCGAGTGCTCAGTGTCATTCCAAATGCAAAATCTGGGCTATTATGTTGCCTACTCTAACTTTTTCTGGCAATCTCCACCCCCTCCCTTCAACCAGCATTCCCCAGCTTTTCACATGAGGTTATCGACCCCTTTGTTTTTGAGGTTACCAGTTTCTCTCGGGTAACCTGCTCAAGTGACTGCTTCCTCTCTGAGCTGGGCCTGTGCTTCAAGGGTCTTCAGTGTTCACCTTCTAATGGGAAGAGATATCGTATGAAAACATAGCAGTAAAAAGGTAAACTTTATAGAGAGATAGTAGGAACCGCTGATGCTGAGTCTGAGATAACAAGGTGTAGAGCTGGATGAACACAGCAGACCAGGCAGCAGAGGAGCGGGAAAGCTGACGTTTCGGGTCTGGACCCTTATTCAGAAATGGAGAAGGGGAAGAGGACTTTGAAATAAATAGAGAGAGGGGGAGGCGATGATAGAAGGTGGATAGAGGAGCAGATAGGTGGAGAGAAGACGGACAGGTCAAGGAGGCGGGGATGGAGCTAGTAAAGGTGAGTGTAGGTAGGGATTGGGATGTGGGTTGGTCAGTGGGGAGGGAGGAGCAGATAGGTGGGAGAAAAGACGGACAGGGCAGGGAGGCGAGGACGAGCTGGGCTGATCTTGGGATGAGGTCGGGAGTGGGGAGATTTTGAAGCTTGTGAAGTCCACATTGAGACCATTGGGCTGCAGGGTGCTGTTCCTTCAGCCTTCGGGTGGCATCGTTGTGGCACTGGAGGCGGCCTAGGATGGACATGTCGTCCAAGGAGTGGGAGGGAGAGTTGAAATGGTTCGCTTCTGGGAGGTGTTGTCGTTTGTCACGAATTGAGCGTAGATGCTCCACAAAGTGGGACTTTACAGATATATGTGCACACACACAAGCACATACGCAGCCACTGACGTTTAGTAAAAACCGAAAAAAACTGTAGACTTGAAACATTAACTCTGATTTTTTCTTCATAGATGCTGCCAGACCCGCTGAGCTTTTCCAGCAACTTCTGTTTTTGTTCCAGGAAAAAGCTCAAGTTAGTTTTTTGGTTGAGTCAGACATCATACACAAAGATACTTCACGTAATACACCATATCAATACCTGATGGAAATCGTTCATTGTCTCCCTTGTGTTCAGCAATGTGGCATAAGAGCCTGAAGTTCCTGATGTCCTAGACAGGATACTTGGCCTCTCTGAAATCAGCACATTTTCTTCCCCTTTGCTAATTCGCTCAATGTATTCTTTATAATGGACATAACGTGTCAGTGGGTGAAGATTACGAAATGTCTCACGATCCGTGATTTTAGAGAATTGGTACAACTTGCCATACTCAGTATTTCTGTTCCTGCGGATCCTGTGCTGAAGAGTGCTTTGCTGCACATGCAGAATGTTCTTGGTGTTCTGTTCAAGTCTCTGTCGCTGCAAAACACTCTGGAAACTTGCAGCCCTGTGAATCAGGTAATGGCTCAGAAGACTGAAGAACGATCTTTTTTGACCCTTTGACCTGTTGCAGATATCACAGCAAAGCAACACCAGCAACCACACAGTAGGCACCCCAAAGATAAAGGCAGCAATGAAAAGCATCTGTCAATAGATGAAAAAAAAATAAACGGACAGCAACTTCAGCATACATTAAGTCACATAATTCCAAATGTTACTTCCTAGTGAGTAACATTACAATTTTACACAAATAGGAGTGCTAATGAAAACATTTCTTTTGGAAAAAAGCATATATATGAACAGAATATTAAACATCATGCACGTGACGTATTCCCTCCACCAATATCAATTCTTAACTTCCTGAATAATCCAGTGGGTAAAGCCATTACATGGATCACTGAACCGTACAGATTAGAAGACATTCGAGATTTCTAATGTTGCCCTCTAACAACAACCTCTGCAGGAAAATAGGCATGTCCAGGCTCCAGCTCAAATATGATGCCTTTCATAATCTAACAGCCATCAATCATTTGCTGTCAAGCCCACAGATAATTAAACACCATTCAGGCAAGGGCCAGGCTCTAACAAAGTCAATGCTTTTGAGAGCAAAGAAAAAAAGTACATAACAGCTTATGACACATAAATTGTCCAATTGGTCCCTCCAGTCTATGACAGCATTTAACCTCTGTGTACCTTGCTCTAATCCTTTTTTCCCCTAAGTCTCACAGCTGTCACTTCTCATTTTGACACCTAAGCGACTGTAAACGGTCTACTTTGAAGGGCATTCTTTCACAATTTTAAACACTTCTTTCATATCACCCCATGAAACGAACTGTTATAATGGACTTTTTTAAAATCAAATCTTACTTTGCAAGTTTTACTTCTCTATACATCCTCTTGAACCTATGCTTTACATTTGCTAAAACACCAATATTCTTCCTGCTCTATATCGCAGAACTCTGTACCTAGTATTCAAACTGTAGTTTTACATTCCATACACTGTGATCACATTTAGATTTCAATTGGATCTATTTTCTAAAATTAAACAGCCTGGTCAACCTAGGTACTGCCCTAAACGTCCTGAAAAGCTACAATCGCTCTTTGCACAGCACTGAGTCAGAGTCAAGTAACAGGATATTCTTTACTTGTCAAAAATGCATCCCACACTGTCATTCAGGACGAGTTCCATCTATTACTTTTTAACCTGCTGCTCCATTTTATCGACATTTCATTGGTCTTCGAAAGAAACAGCACTGTTGATGATTACTGTTCACAATAAGGACAAGGAGTTAGCCAAGTGAAGGCAATTTGATGCAAACAATAAGTACAAACTGCATTAAAATAAAACAAAGAACTGTGGATGCTGAAGATCTGAAACAAAAACAAATTGCTTAAGAAATTCAGCGAGTCTGGCAGCAACTGTGGAGTGTTAACACTTCGGTTCCAGTGACCTTTCAGAAATACAAATCACATTTCTCTCTAAAACAGCATCGTAATATCGGAAAAGGGGTATGCCATTTAGCCCCTTGAGTCTGTTCCACCATTCAATGAGATCAAGGTTGATGTATGACCAATATACCTGCTCCATATCCCTAAAAGCTGTACATTGTCCATAGGGCTAATTACAAATGTGACAGCCAACAAGGATTTTGCAGAATGCTCATTTACCTTAGCTTGCTAATGACACCCATATTTCAAACACCCTAAGAGGAAATAGTAAAACTGCTGAGTGATATATACTGGTCTGGTACATTTCAAAACAACGGAGGTCCAGTATGACCAGTATATCCACCTCCAAGTATTACTGATTTTTTTAAATTAGTTTTTCCCTCTGAGCAATGATAAATCAACCAAAACCCCCTCAACAGAAACAATTTAGGTTTGGACTGACACAGCCTACAACCTCAATTGCCCTGCTCGTGTTCTTCACATTGCTATTAGCACATCTTGAACAAAGAGAACATCCTCAGTTGATAAGTTTGGCAATTGAGAACACAGGGCAGGTGACCAAACTTTGTAAGAAATGCAACTTTTTTTAAAAAATGTATAATTCGGGTGGTGTCTTCCTTTTGCATATTGAGGAGTACAAAATGTCGAAATCGCTGATGTTTGTCCAAGAAGAAAGGAAAATCTGTCCTAACAAAACAGAGATGACATCTGCAGTAAACCACTTCAGCGGCAGTGTGCAAATTTATTGCGACACTCATAGCATTCTGGGTTTTCAAATATTATAATTGGGCTACCATTACAAAGCGGTATGTTCTGGAACTAAACTTGTCCAAAAACCAAAGCTATCAATCGGAAGTAGAACTAACGTCGCTAAACAATTGTGGGCGCGGAACATCTAAAGAAAAATTCCAGGAAATTGGACTGGTTTCCAATTGTTACGGAGATTTATGACTGAAACTGAAGTTTTGGAGCATCATGTGACATTGTTAGACGATTTCACAGTTATTGCAGATTATTTATAATCTTCCTAGAATTTCGATTTGTTGTGAAAGCTTGTCGCACTTTGTTTGTTACAATAATAACTGCTACAGTTGCAACTATAATGCAACAAATGTCGTGGGCCCGAACCAATCGGAAGATGTGACTTTCTGACTGTTCAAGGAGAACAGAAAAGTAGCTGAATCAGGAGCGGCCCTTCCAGTTTGCCGGGCTGGCCCTGCCTCTGGTTTCGCCACTATTAGAAGGAAAAGCGCTCACTCACCTTCTTCCGCCCTTAGCCACAGCAGCAGCGGCACAGCCAGCCCGTACTCAGCGCGCTGACGTTACAGACCTCAGGCGGAGCCAGCTCACTGCAAACAGCTGAGTCTCAACCATACTGGCAGTTCTTGTCGAGGTTAGTGAGGACAGTACTGGGGGAAGACCACAATCTGAAGTCTTTCTGCCAAACTATAACGATGGCCTGTCAAATTTCAAGACAAACCCCGCCCCCCACCTCGATACCTTAAAGGGACAGCAAATAGCTTCTTTTCATGATTAAAAATGCCTTTTTTTTTGTTGTTGCACATGAATTGAAACTCAAATAGGGAATGTCTAATTCCACTTTTTCTCTGTAAAGTCTCTACCGAACCATTTTGGAACTTTGCACTTATTCACATTAATTTAATAAAAATAGTATAAAGAATCAAAGAAAGGGTTAGTGAGGACGTTAGCTTCTCTAGCACCCAATCACATTGGCATTCAAGCTTTTGTTATCACTTTTTAATGATTTACACCACCCCACCTTAACCACCATACGTTTTCTCATCAAAATACCTCAATTGCTTGCTGACCTCAGCCCTCATAGCCAACGACTTTGTTGATTTAATGTCTATTTGACCGTGAGATTATTGCCTTTATCCATCCTTGACTGTATATTTTCTAACCTACAGTCACACCCACTCAGTATCAGTACCATCAAACAACAGCTTTGATCTCTTCATGTATCACTCTCCACCCACATCCCATCCACTTTTCCCAGTTTTAATATTATATCCTGTACCTGCACCGGAGGAAAAGAAACCTTGTTCACTTGCAGTAGAATTTGTAACATGCCTCTTAAAAACCTAATTTGCCCAGGCTTCTAGTCAAACATCAGCTTCTGTGGCTCAGTGACAAATTTTGCTTTAAAATACTCCCGAGGGGTACCTTGTGGTTTTTCATTAGGTTAAAGATGCAATACAAGTATAACTTTTTAAACAAGGTGAAACTTTGGGATTGACAATTACAAATAGTTTGGTAGAAATCTTAACATCTATGTCCAGGATTTCATGCTTAGCTTCAGTGGTTTGTAAAAGGTGTGAAGTTGCTTCCAAACTTGGTCATACCATTACATTAGAGGGTATGAGATCACAAGGTGTAGAGCTGGATGACCACAGCAGGCCAAGCAGCATCAGAGAAGTAGGAAAGCTGACGTTTCGGGTCTGGACCCTTCTTCAGAAATGCTGTGGTGTTTTTAGGCAATGGCATGGCTGTACCGTAAGTTATGCTATTCATGAAAATGCTTCTGAAATTCCTGATCCTAAATCCATCCCACTAAAAACATTTTCTATTTCAGTTATTTAATGACAACTGCACCCTTGGACAAGGGAAAGAAAAAAATAGGATAGTGTGTCTATAATGGCTCCGACAATGTATTAACTGATGAAAGATCAAACTCAGTTAAGCTTATATTTTCAATTAGTTGGAATATTCTATTGTAATAGGAAATTCAAACAGACCACACATTATAAAACAGGGATCCTTTATTCCACTTGCATTAGTTTTACAAACATTAACAGAAAGGTTCAAGTCAGAAACTATTTATAAGGGATCCAAGACTGACACTCCAGATCATGCAGATACTGTCAACAGCTAAACTTTTAAATCTTTAACCAGCTGGGTTACCAGAGTTCAGTTAGAGGAGTTTCTGTTGACAATTCCTTGTGACCACGAACCAGATTGTCTTGTTGTCCATACACAAAAAAGAATTTTCCTCACTCAAGGCTTGTCAGTCTCGGAGGTGCTGTCCACGAAGTCTGTCTATGCTCCATCAGCTTTACACCTTCTTGAAATTTTCCTTTGAAGCTCCCAGAGTGCTCAGAGGCTTCAATCTGTTCTATTCACGGCCTTGGGTTTTACCATAACAAAACAGATGAATTGTAGGATCCAGCTTATTGCTGCCGCCCTCTCTCACGACTTTTGTCTAACTTCCTCTTCCAGCCCACACTCAGGAGCATCTGGTTCCCCCTACCCCTAGCCTGCTGTGGACATTGTTTCCAGAAGGGCCACCTTCACAGAAATCCCACTGTACTATCATGGGACAGTTGTGTCCACTATATTCTAAGCAAGTTTTCACCACTGACCAGTCAATTTAATTCTTTGAGGCATGTACTATTTTCCTGTTTAAGTCATTACACAATGTCCTTCTAAATAGATTAGCAGTGTTTCAACAAGCAATTGAAAGATTGCTGTTCTGTTAGTAACCTGTGTTTTTAGCCAGTTACCTGCATAGGTTTTGGGATAACTAATCCCTGGCTATTGTGAATCAGCCCTGGGCTTTCCCCAGCTGTTCCCCTATAAGGAAGAGGTTCATCATCTGCAAATCAATGATGAATGAATATTATCTGCTAATTACTACTTACATCTGTACATAGTCTTTATAAAGTTTTGTTTCTGGAGTAATGATATAGTCATGGGAAGCCCAAAACTAACAGATATCTACTATACAGGAGTTGGTCCCTGCAGAACAAGATCACTTTCCTTATTTTTAAATGATGTTTCCTTACCTTTTCACTTGTTTTATGATCTTTGAACCAGTGTGATTGAGATTGACAACAGGAAATACCTGTTGATTCTCACTCCGCATTGTTCACAACGATTTTAAAAAGAAAATTGTGCAAGGCTATGAAAAGCATGTATTTACATAATGCTTATGACCACCAGACATGCTATTTGAAGTGAACTGTTATAAAGCAGGCAGCAAAGCAGTTAATTTTAATTCAGTAAACTCCCACAAACAGTGATGTGATAATGACCAAATAGTCTGTCTGTGATGTTGAGAGTAAATATTGGTCAGCTTACCAAGAATAATTCACCTGTTCATTTTCAAAATAATGCTGTCTATTACATCAGCTAAGCAGACAGATGGGTCTTTGGTTCAATGCCTCATCCTCATGATGGTGCAACACCCCCCAGGACTGCTCTGGAGTGTCAGCCTCGATTTGTGCTCAAGTCCTGAAATGGAACTTGAACCCTGAACTTCCTGATTCATTTGCAAGTTTGCTATCAGCTGAGTTACAGCCTACACAAGGCTAAAACAGCAAGTGGGACCAGTTGGTAGCTCTTTCAAAGAGCTTGCACAGGCACAATGAGCTGAGTAGTCTAATTCTGTGTGGTAGGATTCTATTTATAAAGAAATGGAGATGTTCAGCTGCCCCATCTGGTAATAACAGGATAGCAATAAGATTAACACTGAAATTCCTATCACAGCACCAACTAAATGCCATGGTGGAAGTTGTTACAACGATTAACACTTGATATTGGAATTCACATTAAAAATTTTGATACAGCAGTTATAAACAAAACCTTTAAAAAAAGATAATTGGTGATTGATCTGGTAGTTAAAATTTACAAACAACCCAAAAACTTATTTTTGATTGGCTTGAGGTCTGCACAAATACCGACAATACCACCAAACAACCATGACTCAATGACAGATTCTCACCGAGTGAAAAGTTGTGGAATAAAACACAGTTTTGGAGATTTCAGTGTACAATCTAACATGACAGTCCAGTGCAGAAGAGTGAGTGCTGCAGTATGAGGAGGGGGTAGCGGAATCAACTTTTGGACAAGATTTTAAAACAAGGCCATGCCTGCACTCTCAAGTGAACCATTTTGAAGCAAATTAAGGAACAGTATCTAGTCTGTTTGCTAACCCTTATCCCTCAACTATCAATAAAACATCATCTGTTTGTAGGATCTTAATTAATCTTGATGTCTCCAACAGCAACAACATCTTAAAACCATTTAATTGGTTGCACAATTACTTATGTTTTGAAGAATGAAATATCCCAAGGTGCCTCATATGCAGTAAAAATACACTTCTATAGTTAACAACTTGAGCACAGTACTTTAATATCATGTTTCTAAGCAAACTGACTGGTTTTACTTGGATGATAGTTCTCTCTCAAACTAGGTTAATTTTCCAATACGATAACAAAAAGGAGCTATTGTTAGAGAAAAGACATTAAATCAAAACTACACCTGCCTGTCCAACAGGCCATCATTTCTCTCATCAACCAAAACTAGTTATTTGTCTCAGTGGGTCCAAGAGATCTTGCTATTCACAAAACTACAATATTTCCAAGCAGTTAAAATTTTTGAATATTGAAGCATTTGAAAGACGAAATAACCATAAAAAGTGAGGTTAGATACCCAATTTTGATACTCTAATATCCCTCAGATACATTCTCCACCTTGTTCACATTTAAATGTCACAGTTGGCTTGGTTTCAATGATTGCTTATACATTGCACTACAGGATATTAGACTGGGAGCAGCTCACTTGTACGAAATGGGAAAAGTGATGGCACAAGGCCAACATACTCCTGCAAAGGTGAAGAGTGGGACCAAAATTCCAGAGAAGTCTGGATATTGAGGATTGTACATGATTGAATAAAGAAAAAAAACGGGATGCTTATGGTAGATACCAAGGGCTTAGAACAGAAACCCTGGAGGTGTATAGAAAGTGCAGGAGGCTACTTAAAAGGAAACTAGGAAAGCAAACAAAGAACATGAAAAATCACTGGTGGGTAAAATAGAGGAAAATCCAAAGTCATAAGTTTATTAGGGATAAGATGATAACTGGGGAAAGTAATGCCCAGAGTGGCAAACCGTGGGTGGAGCAGCAAGGCACAGATGAGGTTTTAAATGAGTACTCTACATCTATATTCACAATAGGGAAGAATTTGTAAGTCATAGAAGTCAGGGAAGAGAATGGTGATATACATGAACAACTTATAATTGAGTGGGAGGATGTATTAGCAGTTTTAGTGGGCTTAAATTCAGAGACATACACAGGCCCAGATGAGATGTATCCGAGGCTGCTGTGGACTACAGAAGACCTGACATTAATTTTCAAATCCTCTCTGGACAATGGGGAAATACCAGAGGATAGGAGGGCAGCTAAATATTCAAGGTACGTAAAGTCGCGATAGTCCCAGAGGACCATAGGACTGATCGCATTAGAAAGAGATGACTGATGGTGGTTTAACCAGAGGGTCATCACACCTCAGGTGGGGTTCAGAAGGAAGACCTTAATGGTATCCTCAGCTAGCACTGGAATTGAGCCCGTACTGCTGGCATTGCAAATCAGCTGTCTCTGATGGGAATCATTGAGCCCAATTGGACCGAGAGCCGGTAGTTGATGCAGAGTGATGCCAACAGTGCAGGTTCACTTGAAATGAAAACATAATTATCATTCAAGAAGGGTAGTAGGGATAAACCAGGGAACAACACACCAGTAAACCTGACATTAGTGGTAGAAAAACTTTTGGATGAATTGAGGAACGGAATTAATCTCCACTTGGATAGCACGGATTAATCAAGATACGTGTGGTCTTGACGGGGAGATTATGTCTGACAGATGTGATCGAGTTTTTTTTTGACGTGATGACAAGATGTGGATGAGGGAAGTACAATCAATGCAGTCTAGAGACTTTGGTAAGGGTTTTAACAAGGTCTCAAATGGAAAACTGCTCAAGGTATTAACAGCGAATGGGTTTCTAAGCAATTTGGCACATCAGATCCAAAACTGGCTTGATGGCAGAAGCGAGAGAGTGATACTAAAAGGTTTTTGTGATTTGAAGCCTGTATGTCATGGCGCAACACAGGGTTCTCAGGGTCCTGTGTCCCCTGTTGTTTTTAGTTAACGTTAATGATTTAGTAGACATGAATATAGGAGGTTTGATCAGCTTCGCAAATGCCACAGACATGTGGTTACGGTAGATAGCGAAGAGGAAACATGTTGATCAGATAGTCAGAATAATAACAAATGGAATTTACCCTGAAAAGTGTTAGGTGATGCATTTTTGGATGAATGACAAGAAAGGGAGTATATGACGAATGGTAGAACCTTAGGAAGTACATAGGCTGAGTTCATAGATCATTGAAGACAACAGGACAGGTGGATAAGATGGTGAAGGCAACACATGGGACACTTGTCAACATTAGTCAAGGCATTGAATACAAGGGCAGGGAGGTTATGAGGGAGCTGTACAAGACATTAGTTAGGCCATAGTTGGAGTACGGTGTGAAGTTCTGGTTGCCAAGCTGTAGGAAGGATGTGATTGCTACAGAGATGGTTCAGAGGAGCTTCACCAGGATGTTGCCTGGACCAGATGATTTCAGCTTTGAAGAGACCAGATATGCTGGGGATATTTTTCTTAGAGAAGGCGGAGGGTGGAATCTGACAGAAGTATACAAAATTGAGGGGCATAGATAGGGAAGATAGGAAGAAACCTTTCCCTTGATAAAGAGATCAGTAACCTGGAGGTGAGGATTTAAAGTAAAGTAAAAGGCAGGTAGTTTAAAAGGGATTTAAGAAATAATTTATTTTTTATAGGGAGGGTGGTGAGTATCTGGAACTGATTGCTTGAAAGGGTGGCAGAGGTATGAACTATCACAATATTTAGATGATCATTTGAAGTGCCACAGCATACAAGGCCACGGGCCAAGTGCTTGCAAAATAGGACTACAGCAGAGATGTGCTTGATGGCCAGTATGTAAAGCTCTAAGACTCTATTGTATTTTGTGAAAAATCTTTGTTTGAATGTGTTTCTAATTAGTACATCAGCTTTTCAGTTTTCTTTTAGGGATTGAAGATGAATTGTCAGGACACTGCTGTAAGCAATCCTGGAGTAAAATCAGGGTTTGGGAGAAAAAAATAGCATTAAAAATTACTTGAACCATTTTCCTTACAATTAGAAAAAATTGGACAGGAGAGAGAACAGCTGCTTGACTGACAGCTAGCATTCATCAAATTGGTAACAGAGTCAATTTTATTTTCCAATTGCTGATTGTGTTCCAGGAATATGGACATGGCAGAGCAGTTGTTGCAGGCAGAAAATCATGTGATCACTCTAGGAACATGTCTAACCAGAGGTAACTACCCAAAATGTCAAACCTATATCAATAAAAGGAAAGTTTCTGTTACACATTTTGCTGTGATCGAAGCCTCGTTAACCTAGTGTGTGTTGAGGAGAGAAGCTTTCAAACAAAGAGGTAGTTAATAAATAAATAAATTTACTGGGTAAAACCTATTAACAGACATACATTCTATCCAATTTAAATGAACTTTTAGATTGTAAACGTTTATTTATGTTATTACAATAGTTCTTTTGTAACAAAATTGATGAAAGCACAGTAAAAATGAACTGAAATGATGGCATTATGAACTTAGTGAAGATGAACCATAAATCATCACCGTTAATTCTTTACTGTTTTATGGTGTACATTGCATAAGCACAATGAAAAACAAATACAACAGAAGTCAGGTGTCCAATTAAAAATATTGCTTTTGCTTGGTATTACTAAAATTGGATAAAGAGAATAAATTGTTCCTTTTTCTCCCAAATAAAACACAATTAGATCATTTCAAGTTAGTAATAAGTGGGGTAAATTGAAATTCATTGAAGGTGTAATTATCCTCTACTTTCTTCATATTCAGGGGTCTTTCACATTATTAAAAGTACTTTCACAATTGCAAGCCCAAATGAAATATGCAGTATACTTGTCACTTTAAGTTCACACAGGAATGCATCAGTCAAGGTCCTCCCACTGTTATAACCTTGCACTTAGCTATTGTATCTGGTTTATTTTTGACCAGTTGGTTTCACGTTCTCTGACATTAAGGGCAGTGAAATTAGGGAAAACTGAATATGTGCATTTAAGTAAATTATGAAGTTGAGTTCAACTTATCTGTATGTCAACTTACTGAATAATATCTTATAAGAAAACAATTGGAGCATGAACCATTGTTTACACCCATTTGGGACATTGTATGGTAATATACTGGGGTCAACTTACTTGTATACCTTCCATGAACGACGACTGGACAAATCACAATCATGTGTTTGGACTTGCTCCATGACACCTTAGAAATAGTGGCTATTCAAAGTCACACCAAAGCCAATTACTTTCTCAGCTAATATCAGAAGGCCTTTCAGCAATGGTTGCCGGTACCATTAGGAGCTTCATCTTATTTTTCATACCTTAGACCACAAACAATAAGCTTAAAATCAGCAGAGAGTGTGGTTCAAGTCTTCTCAGATTAGTTTTATGGAATCTTATTCTTAAATCAAATTTTATAGCATCTTTCATTGAGATTAAGTAGTTCCACAATCCTTATTGGCTCGGGAGAAATCAATTTTGTTTCTTAGAATTTGAATCATACACCCCTACCTGACCCCAGCTTCCAGCACGTACATCTCAGAACAACACTCACTGATCATAAAGTGACTAAAATATAAAAGCTTAAAAAAATCAAGAAGTGATCGTGGATTATTCAGGATATTATACTTTGAAAAAGACAACGAATACAGAGGTAGGTAATTGCACCTTCCATGTCACTTAAATATTGCTAACTCCATCCATCTCCTTGGCAACAGTCTAAAACTGAACCACACGATTTGTAACTTTGGTGCTCTATTTGACCCAAGATGATCTTCCTACCACACATTCAACCACAAAGTATTCATTTTCACCTCAGTAACATAATCTGTCTTCAAACTTGCCTCAGCTTATCCACTGCGGAATGCCTCATCCACACCTGTTATTTCTGTGCTTGTTTATTCCAATACATCGCTGGTCAGGCCCCATGTTATGTCTTCCATAAAACTCTCCTTTAGAACTCTATTGCCATGACCTAATTTGCATCATGCCCTCCTTACCCATCTCTGCTGTGCTTGCAATTTAGCACTGGCTTCCAACCAAGCAAAACCTCAACTTTAAGATTTGCAGCCTTGTTTCCAAATCTCTGGCCTTGTCCCTTCACTTTGTAGTCTCTTTCAGCCCCATTAGCCCTTTGGATCTCTGCAGACTACAAATTCTGGGCTGTACCCGATGCTAATTGTACCAACACCAGTGGCTGCGTTAACTTTGCAATTACCTTTGCATATCTCCTCTAAGTTTTTCTTCAATATCTGTGAAGCATTTAAGGATACTTACTACATAAAATGCACTACATAAATGCAAAAGGATGTTGTTATTCTTCACACAGGCAAGAGCTATTTGAAATCAACACCAAGTTAAGAGGAAGACTGCCTCTACTTCTGCTACTGAAATAGTCATGCTTCAAATACTCCTCAGTTGCTGACCAAACCTAAACTGCAATGTTTGGTAAACATATAATATTCATTTACTGTCTGACAAAGCCAATCACTCTTTCATGTTTCTCAAATATTAGGTTCAATTTGGTCAAATGCCCCAGTTAGAGCTTACTGTGATTTTTTATTTGGCAAAAAGTAAAGGTAAGTGCTTCTTTGGGAGTTCAGTGACTAAGCTGCTGTACTCCATTTTTTTTTATATTAAATGCTGTTTATCATATGTAACTAAAACCCTGCTTTCCTGGGTAAAACAATTACCTTACAGCCCCCAAAAAAAATTTGGAATCAGGATGTAAGCAACAGAAGTGTGTAGAGGTCGAAAAGCCAAGCCCTCATCATACAAGTCCTCCTAGGCCCTTCTGATAGTGGAGAAATAACAGTACATGTTCCAAGTATTGGCATGTGGAATAATCTTGATTATTAGGAGAAAAATGTTGTATTCATGAAAACAGTATGGACATCAATAGCAAGGCAAGAAGTTATTGTAAATCTCTAGTGGCTTGTAACATGATGGTGAACTTTCTTGAACTGCTGCAGTTTGTATGGAGAAGATACTATCATGATACTATTGGATTAGGGGCTCCAGGATTTTAATCCCATAGCAAATGAAGAAAGTGTGATAATATGTGGGGCTTGGACTGGATAACCAATCAAGATTGGAGAATTTTTAACAATATGCGAGAGTTGCCTAATTAACAAAGATTTGCATTATAATGCTGAATCACACAATGACTGGCTTGAACAAGCAAGAGATCGAAACCTGACTGCATCATAAATCCACCCTAGGTACAAATATACAAATTAGAGGCAGGAGTAGGCTATTCGGTCCCTTGACCCTGTTCCACTATTCAATAAGATCATGGCTGATCTGACTGTGGACTCAAATCCGCATTCTCACATACTCCTAATGACCTTTGACTCCCTTGCTCGCCAAGAATCTACCTACAGCAATCAAAAAGTTATGGCACAGAAATAAACAGAGTTAAATCAGACAACTCTTTCAAGGCTAGAAATTATAACATTTGAATTGCTAAGGGATCTTCAAAAGAGTCATTGATCTGGGACAGTAAATATTAAATTCATTAACAATTTTCCCTACACTATGCCAATAATGCATCAAAATTCCAATTTCAGAGGTGCAGTACTGCACTTCATAGAGTCACTTCATAGACTAGCAATGTTGAAAGCTTCTGTAAGACACTACTGAATTATGTGATTATTGATTGATACCTTTCAGCCGAGTGGAGACTGTAAGCTAATGTAGAACTCATAGCTTGGAAGAGATGCTTCCACATCTACAGCAGATTCATACCCTGATATACACAAGTCCATTGTGCCATTTACTCTAACACAAAGGGAAAAATGTGCTCTTTAATACTGGCCAACATTACAGAAAAGTGCACAAGACTGCTTCCAAATCAGTTCATGCATTAAAAACATGCTTCAGAAATTAATTCATCATAATGTCGCTCTTAAAGTTGGGTTAAGTGCTTTTAGGATGAATGTTCTATTAATGGCAAAGATAAACCAACAACAGCTAAAGTAGGGGAGATGCAATATGAAGTATTAGTTTCAGAAATAATCAAATACTGGAAGCATTCCTCTCAGAATTTAGAGGGATAGAAATTAAATTTCTCCTGTTTGCATTACAATGAGACAAAAAGTCTATTGGATGCAGGAGCCCTGAAGAAGAAACAATTTTTTCTCCAATATACGTACAGGTCAACAAACATATTGGAACTAGCAAAAATTGTTTGGCAGTAGCAATACACCGACCTTTTGTTAGGATACACTAAAGATAACCAAATGCTCTAACTATAAAAGAAAATGTTACATCTCAGTAGACCTGGGCATATAAACAAAAAGCAAATAAGCAATGGGCATAAGCTGTTAGAATACTTTATATTTTTATGGGAAAGTACATTGGATAATTTAAAATGTAAACATCTGCATTGCTTCCTGTCTCCCGTTTTTGTTTGTGGTTATTAGGCTGAACATGACATTCCTAAAGAAGGGATTATAGCAATCAGAGTGGGCACCCCTTTAAGAGAATGAACACCGTTTCAATTTCTGTACATTGTCTAGTGGTTGTTCAAAAAAATGATTTAAAAAATTCCCTTTGTCCATTTACTAGAGGGGTGGTCCCTTTGAAAGATTTCTGCTGCATCAAGGAATAAGTTTTGTTCAACCTATGTCCCAGTACTGCTAGGATCAAGTATAGTCACAGTAACACCCAACACCGCATAAATAAATTTCTAATACAACCCTCTACTGCACCAATTAATAGCCAATACAGCTTATTAAGGCATCTCAGAAACAAGCCTGGCTATTTTTCCTCATTGCAATTTATATCTATTGTAAGCCAAAATGCTTTAAATTCTTTTTCACACAGTCAGAAGGGAGGTTATCAAGATATTGGCAAATCACGACAGAGATTGAAGACAAATCTTCAATGTAGCCACAAGGGCAATTAAACTAATTCAAGAGGTATTTTCTTCCTGGTAGCCCTGTGTGTAGAACATTGCCCTTACATGATCCAAATAGTAGCTGCTGTGCAGAGTCTCTCTTCTGATACTTGGATAAGAAATTTAAAAATTTATAAGTTAAGAGTCCTAAGGTAACTGGTTGTGTAATAAATCTTGGCAACGAGGCAGTTTTGCACATGTTGACACACACAAACTAGTCAGCTTAAGAGTGCCTTGATTATGTTCAGTACAAATCTTGATAGCTATATCACACCAAACACATGCACTTCTTATACATAACCTAAACTATGTAACAAGCCTCCTCTAAAACTGTCCTGATTGTATAAGAGGCCAAATGTGTTTTCCATTTTTTTTTTTTTTTTTTTTAAAATGTTCAATTCAGAGTGATCTTGGAAACCACCAATGCAAGCAAATGGTTCCGGGATATAAAAATATACATCATAAACTATCCCTCCTAAATGTCTCAATGTGAACATGTCACAAATACTTAAGATGAGTTTAAACTTGTCTTAAAGAGTAAAATCAATGTCATTGTGGCTTGCCTGTGCCAATTTATGACCCAGTGTTCAACTGAAGTTGCCAAACAAAAAACAAAATCGATTTCCAACAAAATACAACTATCCTAGCAAATGATTAAAGTAGTAGAACCCATACATAACTGAAGTAGCTCTGACTGACTTGGTAAAGGCAGTGTTTAAATTGGGTTTTAATTGTCAATTTGACTTGTGAAACAGAACAGACTAAAATACAAATTAGAACTGTACTCAGTTATCTACCAAAAAAAGTAACTGAAACTCAAAGGGTAAATAAAAAAAATCAAGCAAATAGCAACTTGCATTTTGTACAACAGAAAACCATAATCCACAGTTTCCAAAACTGCAGCCTTATTCCAAGCAAACAAGACATTTAAAAACATTTGCGTTGCTTCAACATGCACAAAAATATTAGCTTCACAAGGATTATTAACATTTCACATTATGAATGATTTGGAAATGAAGCAACTTATGGAATGAAACCATAAGAAACAATAATTTCTATGAGGTGGGGATTGTCAATCATGTCGGTTGATGAGGAAGCCATTGATTGTCAATTGGCCTGCGCAGAAGTTCCTCCACATGTCTGGCAACATCCATTGTATCATCTAGGTCAAAATCCCCTTCAGGATCAAGCATACTGTCTGGGCTAATTAAAAAATGAAATATTATTAGAAATTCGTTGAATTCATCAACAGGATAATGAAACAAGTCTCACCTCTGAAAAAAACAGTAATTGATATTGTACTTTCTGACTGCATCTTTGCAAATGCAATCTGCTCAAAAAGACCATTCCATTGTTCTGTACATCCAGTATCAAAAAAATGTCAACATACATTAATACAGTGCTTTTTAAAGGTAGAAAAGCATCCCAAGATGTTTTACAGTAGTGTAATCAAAGTGATTAAGTCAAACAAAGATAATAGGATGGGTTAAAAAATGTTTCATTCGAGATGTAGTATCGTAAGAGGGTCATAAAGGGAGAGAGAGAGAGAACTGGAGAGTTTCAGAAATCATGTTTTTGAAGGTCTGGAACATGGTTTCAGCAGCAAATAAATTGAAGTGGGGTGGAGAAGGGCAATGTTGTAAAGGTAGCCTGTTTGACAGGCCAGGGTGAATTTGGCTCAGGATCAAAAATAAGCCACCATGGTTGTGAATATTGATCAAGCTCGTGACAGTGGCTAAAGATGGAGATGGAATGAAGATCAAGTGGAAATAGAGTCATGACAGTAGACATTAGAGACTCATGGCTAGACATAGCTCAAAGAAAGCATGACAGAAGGGAGGAAAAATGAAAAAGACTTGAGGATTAAGCAAGGAGTAGCCGTGGGGATAGTTTGGCTTGTTTGAAGCACAGTAAAAGATAGATCAACTGGACCATAGAAGGAAAAGATCTGTTCATAGGAAAACGTCTTGCTCTATTGAGGGAAATAATTGTACTAAAAAGCCACAAACAAAATAACTAACAACTGACAGGAATGCTTACTTTTGAGAATAGAGGGGATACTGAGGTGGCGGACAAACAGCAGGTGATGCTGCTTGCTCCATATAGGTACTGCTCGATGACGTAGCATCAGATGATGCTGTAGCAAATCTGTAAACAGAAACAGTTCAATTCTCAGCAGCAATAGCAGCTTCTTTTTTTAAAAAAAAATTGTACACAAGATAACGGATTTCTGAAGAAGGGTCCCGACCCGAAACGTCAACCTTCCTGCTCCTCTGATGCTGCCTGGCCTGCTGTGTTCCTCCAACTCTATGCGGTGTTATCTCTGACTCCAGCATCTGCAGTTCTTGCTAAGTCTAAAACATAACTGCCGAAATTCCAATACAAATTCAACAATATAATTCCACACAACCTAATGGCATAGCATCTTAAATTCTGATATCCTACTTATCAAGAGCAGAGATACTGAAGAGTCATAGAGATGTACAGCATGGAAACAGACCCTTTGGTTCAACTCGTCCATGCCGACCAGATATCCTAGATTAATCTAGTCCCATTTGCCAGCATTTGGTTCATATCCCTCTAAACCCTTTCTACTCATTTATCCACCCAGAAGCCTTTTAAATGTTGTAATCATACCAGCCTCCACTTCCTCTGGCAACTCATTCCATACACACACCATCCTCTGCGTGAAAAAGTTGCTCCTTAGGTCCCTTTTAAATATTTTCCCTCTCACCTTAAACCTCTGCCCTCTAGTTTTGGGCTTTTCTACCCTGGGGAAAAGACTGTATTTATCCTATCCATGCCTTTCACGATTTTATATACCTCTATAAGGTCACCCCTCAGCCTCCGACACTCCAGGGAAAATAGCCCCAGCCTATTCAGCCTCTCCCTTTAGCTCAAACCCTCCAACCCCAGCAACATCCTTGTAAATTTTTTCTGAACCCTTTCAAGTTTCACAATACCCTTCCTATTGCAGGGAGACTAAAACGGAACACAGTATTGCAAAAGTTGCCTAACCGGTGTCCTGTACAGCTGTAACATGACCTCCCAACTCCTGTACTCAATGCACTGACCAATAAAAGTAAGCATACCAAATGCCGTCTTCGTGCTACAATGTCAAGGTTCCTTAATTAGGGATGTACTGGGAAGATCATAGCAAAGATCCCACATTACAATCAAAATTACTCTCTCCATAGACATTTTTGTGTTAATAAATGTATGCTGATATTATGATCCCTGTATTATATTTTTCTACTTTATCTGTTTTCTACATTTTTCTATTCTCCTTTTGTGAAAATCAGTGTCAAATTATCAGCTAAATTACTAAGTGGAATGAACATGGTATCACGATGAGTGGCAGGACGATCTCCAAAATGGCCACGGATTTTCTCTTGTCACTATCTCATTAAATGATAGGGAAAACAAAATCATTTTGTTTCCTTTCCTTATTAGCCTTACCATGCATTATAAGCTCTCTTGACACACAAGTACACAATTATAAGTAGGATGAAGTAGAAAACTAACTAAATCAAAGTATTACAGAAATTAAAAGATTAATACAGCAAGTTGCAATCACAAGACATGACTTTCTGATGCAGATTTACTAAGTAATCCATGACTAGTTTGCTTTTTGCCTACTTCACCAGTAAAAATATACTTGAACAGAAACAATTTCAAATTAATAATTGATGCAGAGGAACCTGTCTGAATCCACCATTATCCAAGAAAATTTGTATATTATTAGAGAATAAAATTAAAACAAGTTTCATTAAAACAATTTTCAATAAAATGTCACTACAAAATACTTACTCCGGAACTACCTGTTTGATCTGTGGTTTCACATACCCATCTACTGCTTTTGCTAGTTGGGAATAAAAAGAAAATTAACTTTATTACATCATTCATTCATATATACCGTAACACAGATTTTAATAATTTCTAGAATTAAGACAGCTGAAATAAATCTTTGTTGCAGAATGAAGATGCACTGATGATTCACCTTTAATGTAAACTGATTGCTGGATTTGAAAAGTAATTGTTCCAAAGTGCACAACGAAAGACTTTGTGAAGTATTTTCATTTTGCATCAACTATGTTATTTGATGAGCATCTTTTTCCTTTATAGGTTCACGTATCACAAGGTTAAGAAGCAGGCAGATGATCTGCTCATCAGCCTCAACTGATGAAACTTGGTAAACAGTTGCTCATGAGTAATCAAACAGGATACAGAACGATTCATCTTACTTTCTCTCCCGCCCCAGCCCCCATGTGAAGTTGCCTGTGTAGCCCTGACAAATATTGGAACAGGTTCAAGCCTCCATAAGGGTGTTATTATACGAACATAGTTATCATGCACAGCCTTCTGCTCGGTCAGTAATATAACATAGGTACCATATCAAAGTAGTAAACTCTATTCTACAATATTTATATGGATTTGGTAGATGAATTGGACTTATTTATTTATGGCTAAAACAGGACAGTTCTTGTGAAAAAAAGAATGCATGTACTGCTAAACTAAATAATATTCAAAATAAGCGAAATGCTCAGGTGCCATTCTGTATTTTGAATTCAAGCCATTTACATTTGATAAAAAAAAATTATTTATGTAACTTCAATCAATTTTGCAGAAGCTTTTCATGACCATTAAAACAAATGACACTTACATAATGGTGGTGTATAGTATTTGGAAAACACATCATCTTTGGGTCTGTCAGGATACAAGTACAGCAAATGATTGAGATCGCTGATACGATCTGCCAGTGATCGAATTGAAAAATCTTTGGTTGTGTATGGCATGAGATTCCAAACCATTCTTTCGCCTAGAAAATATATAACAGTTTTATTATTAGCTTGAACAGCTGATTTATGTTTTAGCAGAAAATCAGAAGTATTTTTGTAAAAAGTACAAGCAATGTAATTTATAAATAATATATTTATACAACACGGACCATACTGAAACAAATTTATGCCATTTAAATGTTTCAGAGTTAAATACAGATAGTTTTGTGAAAGCTGTAGTAATCATAGATCTTCCAATGGCACCATACTATGGTAATAATCAAAGATTATAACATGTTAGGCATTTTCCCCCTTAAACACAGAATCTTTGTACAATTACGTATGCAAGAGTCATTAAGGAATTTTCTTAACCACTGATACTGTGACAGGTACCACAGTCAGAAATAAGAAGTAGATGCCTTCTTATGGCCACACCTGCTTTGTTGGGATTATCTGCTCCCCAAGCTATTGTAATCCCTCCAATTTCAGAGTCACTGAATCGCAGCAGGAAGGTTCCATTTGGCTTGGAAAGCAGCATGTCCTGTGCCTGCTGCTTGTTTACAAAGCCCAAAATTGCCCTGCATTAAGCACAGATATGCATTCAAATTACTACAGTTTATATACATTTGGAATAAAATATGATTTATGTCACAAAAAATAGTATTCAAACACTTTTCAGCTCATCTTGCTGATAACATTGATTCCTACAGTAACATGGCACCCTCTGAAACTTTGCCCAATTTACCTATTCTTCATCTATATTCAGGTAGAAAATACTTGGAAGCACTTCATTCTCAAGCCATAGTGCCACATGGATCCTGTGCAGGGATCATACATGGTGATTTGGAAAAGGTTGATTTAGCCACCTCCAAAGATTGAGACTATTACAGAGTCACTTTCTCTCCTGACTTATTAACTAATTCAGCAGATATTGGAGAATGAATTGGAGAAGTTAGGGCTGCAAAGGAAGCTACACATTGTCCTGAACAAGCGATCCTATAGATGGGCTCCTTTCTAATGACTGTAGTGGCAGGCTTGCAGTCATCTGATAAAAATAAGTTTTTAAAATCTCATTACAATAAATTGGCTTGTACTACTTCAAATTGTTGGCTCAGTACTTAAATGCAGTTACATGTATATGTGACAGGAACAACATTTATAATGGTGAGTTTTGTAGACAATGAAACCAGAATACATTACCCATCATTCCAATGAGGTTTTAGATGCTTTTTTGTCAGCTCCATGACTCCATCAAACCATTGCCAGAATGTGAAATTTCGACCTGGTAAACTTTCCTTTAAGAAAGGAAAATTTGAAATACCACATATACTTATATGACAAAATAAATGAAGCTTCAGAAGTAGTTATTACTAAGATATTTTTAGCATGATCTTATTCACCTGTTCATTATGTTTATTCCTTCACCTTCAGAAATGAGTAGTGGGCAATTTTCAGCAGTTTAATGGCATCAGCAAAATAAAATCTAAACATAAAGGGCCAATTTAATTTATTTTAAACCAGTCTCAAATTTACCAGATATTCTCAAGAGCCATTCAACATACAGTTAAGATTACTTTCAACAAAGTAATGCAGGTACTGAATCTTCTCCACAATTCTTTTGTTACAGGCAGTAAGAACTATGGAAAAATAATGTATTCCAAATGTCAATATTTCACACAGCCATCAACACTATTTGAGATAGTAGGAACTATTAACAGTGTCCACATTCTGGATATTGAAAACCAATCAAGTACTTCTAAAGTGTCACAACTTTTGCTGTTGTGCTTATATTTTCCACAATCAGCAATTTGATAACGGCAAGATGGATTGCTTTCGTGATGTTGATTGAGAGATAAATGTTGGCCATCACCATGAAATCACATGGGCAAAAAGTATATAACCCCGAACTGAAATAAGGCATGGTGAAAGTCAAGCATGGCAAAAAGAAATTGCCAGCATTTACTGACCATAGGTCAAAGAGAAGAGTGGATATGTGACATTGTGAAAAGGAGGCGTTTTAATTTACCACTTATGTGGTTGTTGCACTCAAATATTTTAGCTAACCAAGAGTCCACAACACACGAAGTTCCAATAAATACCCTCAATTTCTCAGCAGACCATGCAGGATGGTACTGCAATTTTTCTGACAGTTTTCCACTCGCTTAAAACGCTGAGTACAAATGCTGCTGAGATACATCTGTCTATTACATTTTGGTATAACTACAGTTGATAGGCCCATATCAGCGCTGGCTTCTGATTGTCAACTTTTCTGGAGCTGTATGTTAGTTTTGGCAAGTCTGTCACAGTTGTAAGCAAACAAAAAGATTGTACAATAGCTTATCCCCAGTTGGATGCTCAAATAGTATCTTACCCTGTTAAACTGGGACCAGGAGATGGTCATATTACTGTAATCATCTGCATGTATGGCTGAACTACTGAATGCTTTCTGAGCCAAGAAAACAAGATTTTCTTCTGACAATCCTCTGTTACTTTGAACCTCTGCTTTGAACTTCATGTTGAGAGCTTCACATAATTGTGGCCAGAGTACTTTGTCAGGAACTACAAATGGTACCCGACCCTGAAATTGAAAACACAGAAGTAGTGTGAACATAAAAATATTTCAAATCAATTTAATTTTTTTCATTATTACCCAATAAATCCTCAAACGCTTCAAAGATGGAGCAGTAAATAACCAATTTATATACGTATCCAAACATTACGTATAATAGGAAATTCAAGCAGCTCCCGGTGCAGTATGCTGACTGAGGGTCAGCTCAGGCAAACAGGTTACAACAAAAGCATTACTAATGACACTGTAGTAAGCCAGTGAAGGGCATTTTTCAATACAAGCTGTAACTCCTCAGTTTTATCATTGCTGTATCCCCCACAGGATGTACCTAACTACCAGGTCAAAATTACTAATATTTTACTACAATTGTGTCCAAGTCCAACAGGTGAAACGAAGATTCAAACTTACAACCCTCAATCACTCATGCACTCTGACGTCAAAGTTGATAAGATGATAAATCTTGACATAATTTGTGTTTCTTTACGGGGAGACATTTTTAAATTCAAAAATATTGGAGCAAAAATATGAAAACACTATAAATGTTTCAGCAAAAAATTATTAAGCCACTTATTGATAAAAAGAGGGAGAAGCACCTTTGCTGTTAAACCATTCTAGTTACAAGCATTGAAAAATAATTAAGTGGAAGGCAGTTTCAGAGCCATGGGTGTCACAAACTAGGATATAGCTTTCAAAATTGGTACATTGTCTTATACAATATTTTACCTAGTTCAGTGACGTGGTAGCTCATATGATAGCTTCAGCCAGCAGGAAACTTGACATACTTACTAAAATAACAAAAGATGTTCAAAACAAAAATTCTCATATTGGTCTTCAATAGATTCAGAAGTTCAATCTGTGAGCGTTTTTTATAAATGAAACGTACTGCATGCACAGTATTTCGAAGCGAACCCTTAATGCTGAATTTTACAAAAGCATAAATACCATTAATTTTATGCTGATAGGTGTTGGACATCAATCGAGAACTCACCTATGGCTGTCATACGGGAGCAGGCTGAAAATGCCTATGCTTGTTGGTTTGGAGATGCATGTACATCTGTAAATAAAACCTTGTAAGCATCTCTAGTGTTCTACCTTTTAACACCTGGCTACCCATATTCTGACAAATACTGTCCATATTTTTTAATTTGCAGGGGTTTGGCTTATACATATTCTTACTGCAGCCTTGTTCAAACTGTCTGAAATGCTATTTAAATCACAAGCTTTCATTCAGATTAAAATTTCATTTTGAACACTAAATGAATGACTTGTAACTTACTGGCTCGGCAAATGCATTATCCCAAAGTACAGTAGCAGTGGCATTATTGTCTTGGCTGCCATGAACGATCACTACCACTGGAAGTGATAAAGTCTGTAAGACAGAAAATAATTAGGTAGAAATTACATGTATTCAATGACAAATAATAAATTACACTTTCAAACCTCTTAATTGTGCATACAACATACCTTAACCTGAAAAACTAATTCATTTCCACCAACACTGAACTGTGATTCAAAAAGAATTGTGAATTTCTCTTCTGTGACTGATTCTGCTCCCCGCCGATCAGAACGCTTGATTCGTTTAAGAGACTACAAGAAAGCAAAGTTTAATCAAATTTTAAAGAATCAATGTGTGTGTGTTTTTAGGGTTAGCAAAAATTTTAGTAGAATAAACAAATTTATTTGTAAAAAATTCAAATCTAAGCTTGTACAATAAATATTCTTTTGCATAACTCAGCACATTTGGTAGAGAGTTCTATTTTCCAATGAACAAAAAAATGCTTTATGATCAGAACAACCTCAATACAAAAACAGCAGCAAAAATGCTCATTAGACAGTTATATGCATTTCTGATCTCTCTTGAAAAGGAGCATGTTATGAAAGCTCCTGTAACACCAGAGCCTTACAGTAAAGCCAATTTGCACATTTGAACTGGGCAGCAAGTACTACAAGGGGAGATAAGCAGCAATACTAATAGTCAGATCAATCCTGTCCTCACCATAAGATCACACAAGCCTACTTCTAACACGTCAACACATTGGGAATTGGGAGTGGAAAACTGCCAATTTTTTCTTTCCCTAACGTAAAATTACTGAGACATGCTCAGTGGTTGCCTGAATAAGACACACACTGTCCAAGGATCAACGCTGAAGCTCCTGCTGATGACTTAGTGTGCACTGTGCAATGCATTAACCGACTAAGCTGTGTGAGGAGCAGCACCAAAAGCATCTTGAAACTTTTATTGTAAATATCGCTAGCTAAAGAACCTTTTGCATATAGGAGAAAATTACAATTTGATTAATAAAATATGTTGTTTC